GCTCGAACCCCCGGACCGCGAGATCGTGAGCCGGCTGAAGTCGGACGCTTAACCGACTGCGCCACCCAGGCGCCCCGGTCCAAGTGAAGTTTTATTTCCCTTTGTAGAACGATTTCCCGATCCACAGAACCACACACATGACTGGTTTCCCCTCTACCAAAGCGAGTGTCCCGTTCTGTGCACCGCGGAAGGGGCGGCACTCTAGAGCTTTGTCTGGAGGGAGACTCCCAAGGACCCGCTGGTATCTGGGACCCACCGGTAATCTGGGACTAAACACAGCAGGTGCTCAATGGAAAGCGCAGGGAGTGACCCCCCGCCCCCCGCCCAACCCGAGCGAATCCTCCCTCCAACCTCCTCACCCTCGCGGGCAGCGGCCCTCACGGCCTCTGCTGGTCACCGGGCACCGTGTTCAACACCATCCACGCCACCGCTAAATAGCCTCTGCTCTGCGCGAGAGCCCTTGCTAAAACACATAAACCTGAAGCTGGCTTAGAAACTTCTGGTGGGAATGTAAATTTTTCTTTGGAGGGCAATATTACAATATGTATTTTCAAATCGTAAGAGTGAAACTTCCAGAGTAATTTCCCGTCAGTGACCTTATGTTAGGGGGAAACCCCTAAGTGCAGATAACATCTTCAGGCACAAAATGTTCACGTAAGAACAAAAGATAACAGGATTCAAACGTCCAAGAACGCGGCCGAGGAGTAAGTTTCGGACCATGAATATCCCGAAATAACGGTGCAGCCGTTCGAGTGGACCGCGCAAACAGCCGGTGGCAACACGGGTCGGTGCCAGGGACGGTGGGAACAGCGTGTGATGCAAACATCGCATCAGCTCAGCGATGTGACGTGCGTGTGAGGGAAACTGGGAGGCGTTTACCAGGCGCCTGTTTCCAGACCCTCCCCGCGAGGCCCGCTCCAATTCCTTTCCCTGCTTTTTTGCCTTTTGTGTTCGGATCCCAGGGAGGAGGCGCTGCGTGCCACGGCCATCGGTCACTTACTTGGCTGTCGATTTTCTTCAAGTCGGAGATGCAGTCAGAGGAGATCTGCTCACATTTCAAGGTCAAGGAAAGACGAGCCAGTTCAAAAAGCAAAAGAATTCTGGAAACCAAGAAACAAGAGAGCAATGGATGGACAGAGGTGACAGGAACGTACCCCGTACTCACCTTGTAGCCCCCAGAGCTCCAAGGCCCCAGCAGGCCCGGCCCCCTGACGTGTTGCCCCTCGGTGCTCCCTGAGCTCTGGCCGCACGGACC